AGTGATATGGGCCACACGATAAAAAGTGTCATTATAATTCGGCTGCTTCGTTACGCGCGCGCATGCACTTTTCTGAAGGGATTCCAGGACTGGGTCAGACGACTAATAAACACCTATGGGCAATTCGACATCGCCAAAACAGAACGTTTCGTTCAAAAATCCTGCATCAGGAACCTATCTGTACTGAGCAAATTTTCCTTTCCTGATGAATGTGGAATATAAAGCCCAATAAGCACCCCGCTCTCATAAAAACTGCATCATTTACAGGTTGGTGTTGGTAATTACATTACAGTTCCATACAGTAGAAAGTTCAGATTCATTTTTCTTCACACTTCGCACTTTCATCCCAATCGTGTCCCTCTCTCTCTCTCTCTGTCTCATTCCTCTCTTAATCCTGTCTTGCAAAGTTGCAACATGAACGTGTCCAGTCCATATATAACTTGTAATTCTTATGCCTGGCTTCTAATATTTTACACTCACTAAGTCACCTCCTACACCAAGCAAGCCCTAGATCCATTTCGCAAATAATATAAAACAAAAAATTGCAAAAGTCATCTTGCCAACAATGACTTCAGAACAAAGAATGGTATATCACAAGGCAGACTGGCTTGATGTAACATTAGTAAATCTACACAATAACGATCAGAAACTGCACCAGGCAGAAGGAAGAAAACAGTAGATACTTCAGTAACTTTCTTTTGCATTGCACACAGAAGTTTCAGAAGAATTTTATTACACTAAAAAGGTAACAAGATCTGCTGAAATCTTCCTTAGAGGTCGAGTGTGCCAGTAGATAAAAAATCTACGCATCAAATTGATCAAAAAAAAAATAAAAAATAAAACCCAGGCAGAAATGCACCAGGTTTGCCGGTGCGATCATGCGTTTTTGCACCAGAGTTGAAGTGCTCAGATCATTAACTGCATGAATGGTTGTTGCTTCACACCTACCTTTTGCGCTCATTAGCGTAAATCATCATAAATTTTGCATAAAGTAAATAAAGAATTTAACGATCGTTTTTTGAAAGTAACCTAGCTGTTCAGTGAGCAATTTCTCCACCAAAACTTTTAACTGCCTAAACGTGAGAACTACGCATACCTGAAGGCTGAATTTGGAATATTCAAGCTGTATTTGGATGGGGCCCACTTCCAGCTTTTCTGGCTACCCAGTTAGCAATCTTCCCGTCAAATATTTCACGTGTTTGTAGGTGATAACCACGCATACCTGAAGGCTGAATTAGAAATATCTAAGTTGCACTTGGACAGGGACAAAATTTCAGCCTTTTAGCTCTTCTGGTTTCCGAGATTTCCCCGCCAAAACTTTCATATGTCATTACGTAAGTAACACGCATGCCTGGAGGCTGAATTTGAAATCTTTAGCTCACACATGCACAGAGAACATTCCTACAAAGTTTCAGCCCTTTATCTTGTCTGGTTCACGAGATCGCCTTCAAGTCAAAAAATTCGCATATTTTTTATGACGCCCGTACGCGGCACCCAGGTATAGGCGGGCGATGATATTAAAGTGGGAGGGTCGTGCATGGTCTGGGCACGTACTCCCAAAGTATTAGCTTTTTAGCTTTTCCGGTTCTCGAGTTGAAGCCGGCGATAAAAAGTGCGAACACACAGAGAGCCTCCTGCCAATATGCGTTTTTGCATATATGCAAATTACAAAACCGCATAAAAAATAGTATCGAGACAGCTAGGTCCGGATGGCTTCTTTTCTTGTTTCACAACATTTAACAAATTCAACCTCGCAAAAGAACTCACCGTGCCATAAGACCAATGATGGTACC